TCTTGATATTATAGAAAGGTAGCAAATTCTCCTCAGTTATTTTAAGACCCTGAGTATTGTTCCGGCAGGGGCACGAACCCTGGACCTCCCGCACAACACAATCCGGCGCTCTAACCAATTGAGCTAACCGGGATACAATTGTTATGATGATAGTTCAGAGTATTTGGTATTGGATCAACTACAACCCTCAATTGATATTTTTCTTTATCGTCATCAGTTGTGTTCTTAATATTGTATTGATAATGGAAGGAGAAATTCTGTCTTGGTCACTCGCGGGAGTCAAGGGTTAAACTCCCGATCGGGCAGCGCTTGGTTGACCAATCAAAACACAGGATTCTCTCTACTTCTTAACATCAGATCGCATATTCTCCTTACTACTCTTTATAATTTTCCCATGGTACTGACAAGGATCAATAAGATCTTCTTAGATTGGCCATCATTTCCGTTATTGTCATGGCCTTGTTTGATTCAGAGTTTATACTGTAACGAAAAATTGGATGGTAGTCAATCTTAGGGTTACAGCTTTACTCATGCCCACTTTGGGAGCCAGCTTTTCTCATAATGAATCCTACTTGTGTTGTTTGGGTCCAGGTTCCCCAGGTTTCGGCAGAGTCACAGGTCAGGCCGCGGTCTCCTCCTGACGAAGAAGCCTTTCGAAGAAGAGAAGAGGAAGCAGCGCGCAGAAGAAGAGAGGAAGAAGAACGGAGACGAAGAGAAGAGGAAGAAGTTAGACGGAGACAAGAAGAGGAGGAAAGGTTCAGAAGACGGAAGGAGGAGGAAGAAGAACGACTGAGAAGAGAGTACGAGACAGAGATGGCTAGGAAGAGAAAGGAGGACGAGGAGTCTGCCAGGAGGGAAGCAAATAAACCCCAATTCTTAGCCAGGGCTTTGTACAGTTTCCAGGGGCAAACTGAGAAGTAAGTCCACGTAGAAAAAAATCCCAACGTATGCAGGAGACCAGCTATTATTTATGGCTTGGGTTGGGCGGGTCGGAGGACTTTGGTTGTGTCCCATAAAAATATGTACCTTATTTCCCCCCTCCCCCCACCCCCAGCCTTCAAAGTATTCTAATGGTGCTCCTTATTGAAAGTCAACTTTCCAATATCCCCCTCTGCGTGCATTTGACTTCCCCCACCCCCCCCAAAAAAAATTCTTCAGATCTCTTCCCCTACAGTTGGTCCTTAACGCATGAAAGTTTTGTGCTCTTGTGGGAGACCTACCTACCTACTGGCGATTGTCCTTTCCATTGTGTTGTATTCCGTCTTTTTCTCTTTTGTGTTGCGCATTTGTACAGACCCTGACAGATTTCCCTAACAAAATCCTTCCGACCACTTCCTCTTCCCCCTCCCCCCCTCCCCACAGTTGGTCCTTTAGGCACGGAAGTTTTATTTGCTCTTGTGCGAGACGTAGTGGCGACTACTCTGTCGTATTCCGTTTCTTTTTTCGGTGATGCGCATTCGTACAAACCCGCACAGATTTTTTTGTTTTTGATCCACTAGGGAGCTTTCGTTTAGGAAAGGTGACATAATCAACGTGAGAAGACAAGTGGACAAGAACTGGATTGACGGAGAACTAAATGGCAGGCGGGGAATCTTCCCTCAAAATTATGTCGAGGTAGTTAACTTGTATTCCTTTCACACCCAAGCTAAAACACGTTTCAAAGTTGTTTTTTACCTCACGTAATGACGTAGTCGAATCAAAACTCTACTTTACATTTCCTTTGCTACTGACAAGGAGAATTCCTTTTAACAGTCAAAGCTTCTGAGGTTGGGGATCACTTACTTTATTTTCGTGATATCTCATTCAACAATTATAGCTTTGTAGGTTGGTGATCATTTTCTTTATTCTCATGATCTTAATGAATGATTTAGCAGTGTTATTGTATGGAGAAATTACATGCCGGTCATCCGTAGGTTTATTGGATAGATAAACATGCTTTGTCTGTATGAATGGGGGCCTTGGATAGTTACGCAGTTTTTTTTTTTTTTTTTTTTTTTTACTAGATCAGACCCGTTGAAGAGGAAGAAGACGGACCAGAACCAGAACCAGTCCCAGTCCCTCAGAAGCAAATTCCGCGCGTCCAAGTTGTACAACAACGCGCACAGCCGCAGCAGCAGCAACAGCCTCCAGCTTACTCTCAACCGCAGACCCAGGCTCAACCGCGGCCACCCAGTCAACACGTGACACAGTCTGTGACTGTGGAAGGGGAGGGTCGGTTGAGGTACAACTTTAAGGCAGAAACCACGAGAGAACTTCCCTGTAGTAAGGTATTGAATTAGTTTTCTTCGTATTAATTTTTTCCTGGTCAAGTAATTTCCAAACTAGTATCAATAGAAATCCGGCATAGATTTGTATTTGCTTTCTTCAGTTCCTAATTGAGTAATGAAATCGCGCCATCCTCTTAGCCTATCAGATTCACAATAAAACCAACCGCGTCTTGGTCCCTCACATTTTCCCGCGTTTTCCGCAGTTTGCTTGTTTTAACCACGAGTTCACTTTGGCTCCTTTTGATGCTATACTTTGTTCTTATTGGCTATTAAGAGATACCGGTACAACTGCTTTTGCTCTTACCGCAGTCAGTCGAAAAAAACGCTTTATAATTTCCTTTTTCTTTCTTTCTTATTTTTTTTTCCCCTCGGATTCAGTCTAATTGGACTGATCAGACAATATGTTCTTTTTCCAGGGAGATGTCATCGCTTTAGTGCGGAAAGTTGACGCAAACTGGTACGAAGGAAGAGTCGGTGATAGGAAAGGAATTGTACCATCAAGTTATTTAGAGGTGTTTAAAGAACCTGAAGTTAAAGGTAGGTCTGTTCTTTCAACAGGCAGCTTATTATGTCAAATTTTTGTCTTTGAAACTGGGGTTTGTTTTTATACGTTTCTTTTGAATGAGAAAACGACCCAAGGGTATTTGGTGAAAACCAGATACAGCAGTGAGTAACGTCGTGAGGGAAACTCTTACTTAAATTCCTAAAGTCATACACGATTGTTTTCTGGAGCAGTAGCGAATTGAGTGTTGGAAAATAATCCGGGATTGCCCTGGTTTTAATTTGTCTCCGTTCTATGATTAGTCCAGAAAACTCGCGCTACCTTATCAACCAATCAGATTCAAAACTAAACCCAGCCGCATCTTGGTCACCTGCGTTTTCCCGCGCTTCTGGCAGTTTACTTGTTTTTACTCTGTACTTCTTGGCTCATTGTTTTTACTCTGTTCTTATTGGCTCATTGTTTTTACTCTGTTCTTATTGACTCTTTGTTTTTACTCTGTTCTTATTGGCTCATTGTTTTGTCTGTATTATTCACGACGGCTACTCTCACTTTCTTGCAGTCATTCGCCAAGAACAAGTGCAACCCGTTCAGTCAGTGCGTGTGGAGCAGGTGAGCTCTCCTTGTCYGTTTCAATAGCTGTCTTTTAATTTCAGTTTTGAAAATTTTGAAGTTTGTCACCTGGAAATTGTTTTTGATTGTTAGGAACCGGATTTCAGAAGACCAGAACCTAGTTTCGATCACAGACAACAACAGTCCAGAAGGTGAGGGTTGGAAACTGTTAAGTTCATATATTGTTTATGCAGACGGACAATACTTAGTAAGGCTTCTTTTATGTTTGGTCCCAGCTCCTCAGGGGCTATGTATCCAGGCCAGGCTGCTCCTCCTAAGCAGACGCAAGTAAAGTACATCGAGGAGCCAGTGGAGCCTCGCTTTAGTTCTGGTGGCGTGGTCGCACATGCAATAATTGACGAGCCAATCCCAATAGGGCACGAGCAAGGAGAGAGGTATCGTAATACCGTCCACACTTGTGTGTATTAAGACAGCGACCCAATGGGCCTACGAGTTGGTGAAGTTCTTGAAAGATTTCTTTTCAAGATTGATGGTGAGGTTTTATTTGTTACGCTGTTTTTCAGGTATCGTGCTTTGTACAGTTACGAACCTATGAACGAAGACGAGCTTCGTCTTGAAGAAGGCGATGAAGTACTCGTTCTGGAGAAATGCGATGATGGCTGGTTTGTAGGCACATCTTCTCGCACGCACTCATTTGGAACCTTTCCTGGTAACTACGTGGAGAAAATTCATTAGTGGTGAGTTAAGCCAATGTTTGATGGAACTTTAGGGAAATTCTGCCAGTTACACATCTCCGCATTTTTCACTTGCTTCGGTCATCATTGCTTGTGTTCAAGCTCCTGGAAGACGGCAATTTTAGTACTACACGAATGCATTATGGGGCGCAGCCAATCAAGAGAGCAGGATTTCCTATGCAAATTAGGCAAGAACCAGTGACATGACTGGATTAGCATCCAAGATGCTGTTCTTATGAGTTTGGCGCTCGTTGGTCACACGATTTCCTACCCTTATTAGTGATCTTCGGCAGTGGTTCACTGTTTTTCCGCCGTTTTCAATGCTGGTTGCGTGTTCTTTTCACTAGTTCCATGTTTACACGCGCTGCATGTTCAAAACGTTCGCCACTGGTTACCGTTTCCCCGCCCACAATCTGATTTTTATTCGTTTTCCAGTTAGCTCAATGGATAGAGCGCTGGACTATTGTGCGGGAGGTCGAGTGTTTGAGCCCCGGCCGACACTCAAGGTCTTAAAATAATTTAGAAGAATATGCTACCTTTCTAGAACATCAAGAAATGGTTAGATATTCTAGACCTCTCGGATAGGGACGAACAAATGGAGGTCCCGTCTCCTGCAGGGTTAGGGGTATGTATGTTAATTTCCCACACACCAGAGATTACTGTGTGATGGATGTCCTCCCCCGGGGTGGGATTGGTGGGTTGGGTTTTGATGAACCTAGTTGGGGACTTCGTGTCCTATTGTTCTCTCACCTATACAATGTACAAATCTTTAGAAACGAAACGAAACGAAACAAAACGTTTTACCAATTTCTTTTTGTTGTTGTTAAGTAAACGTTCTTCATTCACTGGAAGTGACGTCCCTGGCCATGGATTAATAAAGCAATTCTTTTTCTTAACAGATGGAGAAGATCACCGTCAAGCCGATGCCTTTACCGCTCTAATGGGAGCTTTGGCAGAGCCGTATATCAAGATCACGCCCATGTTGTACAACACCGTATAGCTATTCGTCCTAGCTGGAGAAATGAAAGTTTTGATGATCATGTTACTTTGAAGTTCATATGGATTTTATATCTATTTTGAGAATAAGTTGCCGAAAGATGGGTTTATCCTCCGGTTCTCTTTTTGTCTCGAGAACTGTTTTCTAATCCAGATCTAACGACGACTTTGTACAGTGCTTTTGAGACGGATTCAACAAAAAGTATAACTACCACCAAGTTTATCGCAACATGAGTTTGTCAGACGTTGCACGTTTGCGACACTCGTGTCCTTTTTTTTTTTCTTTTTTTTTCCTTTTAATTTCCATGCCCACAAAAATGAGACTATTTTAATCCCATGTTTAAATACACAGAAGGAACAAGTATTTAGGTAATATTATTAATTAGGATAGGAAAAAATGGTTATAACACTTTTGGATAAGTAACTGCACACCCACCCCTCCCTTAACCAGAAACAATCAACCGATAACAAGCTTGAGATGAAGTTTGGTTAATGGGGGAGGAGTAGCTGCGCAATTTTTCAGATGCTGGCATTGATCCACACTTTTGAACAACTTTCGATCGACCTAGAAATGGTGAGGAGCTTGATTTTTTATATTAATTACTTTCTGTAATATGTATATCCCTCCTCAGTGCAGATGTTGTTAACAAATTAACAGTCCTTGTATCTTGCTTCATGTGGCTGGGCTGACAAATGCTTACTCTCTTCCAAAGCTTTGTCTTCAAAAAGTGAGTAAAGGCCTAGTAACAAGATTTTTTTTTGTGCCGTTAAGAATTACATGAAGCAAGTATAAGTTGGTTGTAAAAAAATAATTTTTCTAGCCTTTTGAGTCTTTAGAGAGGAGAGTTCCAACGCAGACAACTCAAACTAACACCTTACTCTACAATGTTTAGATTTGGTGAAAAAAAAAACAAAACAGAACTCAGTTCCTAAACCCAATTAACTTTTTAACCCTAAAAGTAATAAGCATCCAATTTCTTTCAACAATATCTCACCCCTGAATCACACACTGAGGTGATAAGAATAAAAGGAAATGATCACCAATGAAGAAAGTTTTTTATTGTAAGACAAATTCTCTTTTACAAACCATAGGAAATCCATAAAGAACGTTGGGAAGAACTTGCATACTGTTAGGGTGTAAAGAGTTAATTTCAATTCTTTTAGGCACTCAACCTGCTATGTTGTTTACAGCACAGTGGATCTTTAATTAATCATGAAAAACCATGTTGCAAGTGACTGCCTGCGATCGATTTTAACCATAATAATTTGGTATCACTTGAGGAAATAAAACAGTCTGATTTTTAAACAAAATATTGTCATTCATTGTTCACTGGAGCCCAACTATGATTCCTTAACCTTAACATTTTTTCATTGTTCAGGGTTCAAAGTCAAATCATGCAGAAAGTAGAAAACATTTCCACCCTGACTAGCCCAAGTTTCCCTTTCTCTTACAACAGCCGTCGTCCTTAGGTTTACAAGCCACGCTTAAGTCTGTCTGCTTATCCGACGGCGACTGCAGATGTTTTGTCATTAAAAATAGCCCATGTCCTATGCACCGGCTCGAAATCGTTATTTGACTTGTCAGGTAACGCTTATGTCAACAAGTGAATGGAACATTGCGTGACTATTTGACGTAATTTCTGTAACGTCAGATGTACAGCGTGACCTTTCCACCACCTTACAACCTACAGGTTGCTAACGGATGTCATTTTGCAAAATGTGTCCACGACTGACTGGGCTGAGTTTATACAACCATCAAAATTCGTGTGGGAGAACGCATCACCGCAGGCAACCAGAAGCGGAGAGTTACACAAAGCAATGCATCCGGGAGAGCCGTCAAAACCGCGTGACACTTGAGAATACCGCCATCTCAGACAGCGACTGTTCGCGGGTTCTGGGAGGTCGGGAAGTATTTGTTTTATGTGAGATATTATGATCTCTTTGACATCATTCAAGTCCATCTCTAAATGTTCTATTCCAAATGGCACGCTGGTGTGTGCTAGGAGAGAGGGGCCAATTTCTTCGGGATCTGAAAGAGAGTATAGAATGCTGGCAATTTTTGCACCCTCTAATAAACCCCCCTCTTTAGAGAAAGAAATTTATGAAGCCCCCCTCCCCCCACGCCTCCACCTCAAAAAACAAAAATTATGTCCTATTGTATCGTTGTAGTGAACATCAGGCTAAATTAACTTGAGCCCCCCCCTCTCTCTAATAAGCCACCCCCGTCTCGCAAAGTACCTGAAATAAATAAGCCCCCCGGGTAGCTTATTAGAGTATTTACGGTATGATTGTCATGACACGTGCGGCCCCACGCTCACTTTGATTGAAGTGTATCATCAAAGATCGTGTAACGGCCGTATGCAAGAATATGGACAGGGCCGCAAAGAGCCGTTCGGCCCCGCGAGCTGCCATAGAAAAGAAGAAATGTAAGACATGAGAAAGCGCCTATTGACTGAGAAAGGTCGGGCTGGACAGGAAGATATTAGGCTCTAGGTCATGATGAACGGACCTCGGAACGCTGCAATTGCGCTTTCCCAGGCTAGGAGGGAGAGAGAGAGAGAGAGAGAGAGAGAGAGAGAGAGAGAGAGAGAGAGAGAGAGAGAGAGAGAGATGCAAAATAGGGAATCGAATCGTCGGCGGATAGACGCGTTTTTCCTTCATCCGACCGCCGCTAAAAATAGAACAGTACCACTCTTTAAAACTTTGGCATCTTCAGATAACGAGCGTGGCTTCTGAAAAATTATAACACTCAATACCTTTACTGTACTAAGTTTCAAACTCCCTCACCTTTCCCAAATCTCTTCCTCGAATCCACTGATAAAAACCTCACACACGGACTGCCTGTCACATACTTGCAACACCACGGCACGTTAATTTTAACCCCTTGTTCAAAATACAAGGCTACGGCGTACCGCGACGAATACTGCACGGATTCCAGAAGCGAGCGTTTGCTTGCGAGGAAACCTTGAATGGAACCCTTCAGGTTTAGAAGTTGAGGAGTAGGAATCGTCACAACAACAGAATCGAATTTACTTGTGTTGTCCTTGAGGTCTGTTACTTGCCAGAATTTTGCGCTTTGACTGATGTTTCCTGGGTTTTCAAATATGTTTATTGCACTGCAGTGGGTTTCATACAAAATGCTGGATTCTGAAAAAGTATGGAAAATATACATTAAATAAATAGTAAATAAATAATAATTTAGCAATGGACATTCCACTTGGTGGCTCTTCTTGCCCACTGTTTCCAGATCAAATTGGAATTTGGAATGTTGGCTTTTGCAGAGGGAGGAAAACCGCAGGACCCGGAGAAAACCCTCGGAGCAAGGACAACAACCAACAACTAATGTGAAGCCAGGTCTGCAAATCAAACCCGCGCCACACCAGTGGGAGGTGAGTGCTATCACCACTATGCTATCCCTTCTCCCCAGAACTCTCAAACTCCTGAGATTTGATTGTTAACTCTCCCCTCTAGCTGCTAGACATTTCCTTGCCCAATGAATAGTGCGCTGGACTGTCGTGGGGGAGGTCGAGGGTTCGAGCCCCGGCCGGACCAACACTCAAGGTCTTAAAATAATTGAGAAGAATTTGCTACCTTCCTATAACATCAAAAAATGGTTAGATATTCTAGTCTTCTCGGATAGGGACGAATAAATGGAGGTCCCATCTCCCACAGGGTTGGGGTAGGAGACGTTCATTTCCCACACGAGATTACTGCGTGATGGATGTCCTCCCTGGAGT